TTCCCACTGCATGGATGATACTGGTAGCATCTACTCTTCTTTGTTCCTTCCTATCTCTATTCATCTCAGCTTTGCCAGTCTCTGGGTCGGATGAAACTTTTTTTTTTCTTTCCAAGATGTTCTTTAAATTCAAGTTAGTTAACATATAGTGTAGTATTGGTATCAGGACTAGAATTTAGTGATTCGTCACTTACATAAAACACCCAGTGCTCATCACACCAAGTGTCTTCCTTAATGCCCCTTGCCCTTTTAGCCCATCCCCCACCCAACACCCTACCAGCAACCCTCAGTTTGTTCTCTATGTTTAAGAGTCTCTTATGGTTTGCTTCCCTCTCTCTCCCTCCCCCCTCCTTCCTCTATGTTCATCTGTTTTGTTTCTTAAATTCCTATGAGTGAAATCATATGGTCTATGTCTTTCTCTGACTGACTTATTTTGCTAAGCATAATACACTTTAGCTCCATCCACATTGTTACAAATGGCAAGATTTCATTCTTTTTGATGGTTGAGTAATATTCCATTATAATATATATCATATATATATCTTCTTTATCCATTCACCTGTCAATGGACATTTGAGCTCTCTCCATAGTTTGGCAATTGTTGGTTTTTTGTTTTTAGTTTATTTTGAGAGAGTGCGACAGAGAGTGAGTGAGTGAGCATGTGCAAGAGTTGGGAAAGGGTGTAGAAAGGAGAGACAGAATATCAAGCAGGCTCCATGCTCAGTGTGGAGAGTGATGTGGGGCTCGATCCCATGATTGTGAGATCATGACCTGAACCAAAATCAAGAGTCGGATGCTCAACAGACTGAACCACCCAGGTGACCCTGGCTATTGTTGATAATGCTGCTATAAACATTAGAGTGCATGTGCCCCTTTGAATCAGTATTTTTGTATCCTTTGGATAAATATCTAGTAGTGCAGTTGCTGGGTCATAGGGTAGTTCTATTTTTAACTTTTTGAGGAAGCTCCATACTGTTTTCCAGAACGGCTACACCAGTTTGCAATCTGGTTTGCAAACTGAAGAGGGTCCTTCATACAATGTCCTGAAAGCTAGGGAAGCCAGCCACTCACTTCACTCTCCCTTTTCTGGTAAGGGAAATTCTTCCAAGCTGAGGAGTTCCCTGTTGGCAGTGAGCAGTGCCAGCCTGGGAGATTGGATGATGCAGGCAAAATGAAGCTGCTCTTCCTTCCCTTCTTTTGTAATTATTCTCAGATGGGTTTTTTTCCTTCCCCACACTGAGTTGCTGAAGATTCCTAAGAGCACTCCTGAGCTCTCCCAGAACTGCTTTTCTTTGTGGATGCTTCCAAACTCTTGTTGATCTTTGTTGGGGGTTGGAGGCTGAGCTCCCCTACTTTACCATTTTGGTAACATCAACCTGACTTATATAACCATCTTGAGTTTTACAGTGAAGCTACAATATGTGGTGTCCTTCCAAATGGGAGAGCTTGTAAAATCATCTGGAACAACTCTCTATCCATGCTGGGACAGAAACTAAGACTCAGAAGGGTGAACTTGCCTAAGGTCACAATTTTACTTGCAAGTCACACTTAAGACTAGAGATCAGATCACTGATCACTCTCATCTTGCTTTTCTGGCTGGTAAAATCTTGCTCAAGTCCTCCTAACCTACTCTGACCATAAATCAAGTTTCTTTGCTTGAATAAAAGGGCTCTAAGAGTCTGCTTTTAAACTGAGTACTTTATTAGGTGAGCAGCACATGCAGGGAACAGAGTAAGCCAACGAGGTCCCTTGGAGTGCTGGCGCCTGAGATGTCTCCTGTCTCTAAACCGACTATTGATGTAGCAAGGTAGCCACAACAGTCCTAAGTAATTGGTAGGAGGTGGATGGGTAGATAACAATATTTATTCTCTCAAGAGTTACCAGATTGAGTAGTTAAAACTTGCATTTATGAACAATTCTGTTTTCTGTTTTTAGGCTTGGCCTCACAGCTTTCTGACATTTTAGCTGGCCTCCTCCCTTTCACCCACACACCCAATGACTACTCAGTCATTTCAGCCAGAGAGAAGGGAGGCTTTGATGAGAAGAACACAAAATAGTTTACATATTTGGGGTATGTACTATGCTTTCTTCGATATTGTCTGCCAGGAATTCAGTCTGTGCCCAAATGCCATCCCACCCTCACCCCACTCCTTGTAGGACAACAACAGAAGTAGGACAGGCTTCTCTGTTCTCTGTGTCTGTCTCCTTCACATTCACGCGCCATTCACAGAACACAGGAGAAAACTGAATCCCGGTTACAACTGAATGGATGGTAAAAAGGAGTCTGCATCTTATTCAAAATAAGATAGGCTTTCACAACAGGGACAATGTGTTAGAGAAACCAGGTTGCCCCCTGAATTTGCACAGTATGCAAAGTTGCATACTACATTATTCCATATCTCTGAAACTATTTTTTTTAATGTTTATTTATTTACTTTGAGAGAGAGAAAGAGCAAGGGAGGGGCAGAGAAAGAGGGAGAGAATCCCAAGCAGGCTCCTTGCTGTCAGTGCAGAGCCTGACACAGGGCTCGATCTCACAAACCATGAGTTCTTGACCTGAGCTGAGAGTCAGACATTTAACTGACTGAGCCACTCAGGTGCCCTCATATCTCTCATACTTTTATCCAGTTTTTAAGTTTTTGCCCTGGTGCCACTATCTGCCTCATAAACATGGGGTCTGAGTTCCCCATATGCCCCATTCTCCTTTCATTGTATCAAATACAGCAGGTAATTTTTGCATAAATGAGGTAAAGTAACTGAAAAGGAATTTTTGCCAGTGATTGATTATTTCAAGAGAGGGAGAAATAAGGTAATTTCTAATCCACATACTCACTAAAACCCCAGCTGGATAACCAAGTATATCTCTTCAAGCTCCTCTTTCCTGCTTGGCTCTAGTATTCCTCATTTTTCTTCCTAAAAATCTTCCCTGTTCACAAATGATCCTTAAGCAAATGATCCTTAAGCTTTACGTTGTAATCGAGTGGCACAGCACCAATTCTGTTATATTACTTATGACCTCTTGAAATAGCCTATATTGGCGGAAGATCCCTGCCATTTAAAGTGACAGCTCTAGCATATTGGTAATGGCTTCTTATTACAGAATGCAAAGTCAATTCACTAGGAGCTCTATTCAATCTCCTTCCCCAGTCAGACAGTCCTCTAGGGGTCAACCTTCATCTTTCTTCACTCCTCCTCTCTAGAAAGCTGGTTTCTTTTAAGGTACATACAAATTTTCAGGGTCAGTAGTTATCAGGAAAAGGAAGCCCAGGTGTCCTGCTAACTAACTACAGCTGGGCTGTTCTCGGGTCAGAGCACAGGTAGTTGACTGCCTGTCAGCTTCATGAGGGTAAGGACAGTGTCCTGCAGTCTTGCTGTATCTGCCCCACAGTAGGCCCACTCCGTAATCATTTATTGCTTGAGGGAACACACACAGTGAACAATAAATGAAGTAGTAAATCAAGGAGCCACAGGAATCGAATGCAGGTTACCAGGCCAGTTTTGGAAACACGGAGATCAGGATTCTTGTGAGGAGGAAGCACGGATTGCGGGGGCTACAATGGCAAGATAGGGAAAACCACCCCAAACCCTCAGAGAGGGGGCTGGGTATAGTGAGATCACCTCTCCGTTAGCCTCACTCTTGCTCGCATCTTGGAACAAACACAAGAAGTGTTGGACAAAATAATCCCCTGATTACAAGTTTAATGCTAACTGGACCTGTGAGTTATATAAGCAATGGCTGTGACCTCTTTCTGGTCTACTTTTTGCAACACAGTTTACAAACATTAGCTTGATCACTGCAATAACCTTCAAGGTGGCCATTAATTTTCTTTATTTTCAGAAAGAGAAATTACATGCAGAAGGTTAAACGGCCTACCTAAGTCAACTGGCTAAGGTCAGCATCTGGGATTCAAACTTGCTTCTGAGTCTCAGTTCTTTCCTCTACCCAAAAGGCATTGCACCGAATAAGCAACATGCCAAACACCTACCCAGACAGCTTTGTATTTTTTTTTTGATTTCTAAATTGTGCTAAAAAACACACAAAATTTATTTCCTTAACCATTTTTAAGTATATATTTCAGTAGTGTTAACTGTATTCACATTGCTATGTATAACACTTCCAGAAATTTTTCATCTTGCAGAATTGAGCCTCTACAACTTACTAAACAACACTCTCCATTTCTCTGCCCCCAAAGCCCAAGCAAACATCATTCTGCTTCTGCTTCTATGGTTTTGACTACTCTAGAAACTCCATAAAAATGGAATCATGTAGTATTATACTTTTGTGACTGTCCTCTTTCACTCAGGATAATGTCCTTAAGATTCATTCATGTTGTAGAATGATAGGATTTGCTTCCTGTTTCAGGCTTAATAATATTCCACCATCTATATACATTACATTTTGTTCATCCATCATCTGTCAATCGACATTTGTGTGGCTTCCATCTCTTGACTATTGTGAACAATGCCGTGATGAAGAGGAATGGGCAAATATTGCTTCAAGATACTGTTTTCCATACTTGGGGGTAAATACTCAGTAGTGGAATTGCCAGATGGTAGGGTAGTTCTAGTTTTCATATTTTGAGGAGCCTCCCTACCGTTTCCCAGAGTAACTGTACCACGTTACATTTGCACCAGCAGTGTACAAAAGTAGACCAATTTGTTTTTAAATAGAGTAACTGTCAGTTTTAGTATTAAACTGACCAAACAGCCCAGCCTATCAGGTCAGGTAGTGATTACATTCTTAAAAATGCAAACTCAACTAAAACTCTAGACCTTAAGCCTTAGTTTTTATAATTAAAACCATACGCCATATAAACGTGTTACAGATTTATACACGTCGATCAGCATTTCATTTTGGGACAAATACATTTAGAATCATTTTCTTGGAGGCTACAACAAACGAAGTAAAAGTGAAGCCACTGTTGAACCAGTGTGAAGGTATCAGGGGAAGATTACAATTCCTGAAAATAAGTATAAGCATGCACACAAATTGCACTTACCCTTGTTTTGGCATCGATTTTAGCTCCTCGATCAAGCAAGAGTTTTACCATATTGGCATTTCCTCTTTTTGATGCAACGTGTAAAGGCGTGATGTCATTCTGTAGAAGAACAGAAAAAAAGGACAGTTTTGGTATCTTCAGTTCAACCGAAACATTGCTTCCCCAACTCCCCCCCAACAGGTCCTCACTTTTTTATTTCCTTTTTTTAACATCCATTGTGAACAGAATGCTTCCCAACATTTCTCTCTGACAGTAATTTTACTCAGTAGACTCCCCTCTCCCCCCAAAAGGGATGAATTTTAAGGAACACATTCTGAAGGTGGGTTCAAGTTTATTTCACTTAGCTGCAGTGACTGATGGATGAGATGGGGTCTTTTTTGGTTTTGTTTTTTTTGTTTGTTTGTTAGTTTTGCTCTAAAATTTTGCACCGTTAAGTCAATGTGTTTTCCTCCAAATTTGTGTGATACATACTGGCTAATGTGTGGTTGACTAAGTGGCTGATTAAGTCAGCCAGACTCAGTTAAAGGAGTATGGTGCTCAGCACCATCTCTGGGTCCATATGAGCACAAGATATCAAGGAAAAACAATAGTTACGCAAAGTGGAAAATCAGTCAGTACTGTACAAAGTCACAGGACTTCCCATGCACGTGGGGCTAAAGTGTGTTTGCAGGCATCTGTCAGCAATCTCACAGAAAACTGTTTTTGTTTTTTTTATTATTACCATTGAGGAATAAACACATTGTTAGGACAATCTGAAATTAAAGTCATGATACTCAATACCACAGGTCTTTCCCCATGCATCTTACAGGTGTTATGATTGTTTCCAGACTGTCAGGGAAATATGTGTATGTTGTGAGAACATTCTCTATGCTGGCTCCTTATTCCTTTGTAGCAACAATATGGATTTTAGGTCCGTTGTTCACCTAAGTTAATTATATGATCAGTGAACTAGGCTCCTACGGGGTTGTATTTTTGCCATTTGATAGCAGATACAACATAATAGCTACCAGGCATTGATTATTTCCTATATGTTAGGCACTGTGCTAAACTCTACTGTCTCACTTAATTCTCATAATCCTCACAATGCCACAAAACAATCTGACTTACAATGTCCATTTCATAGATGTACAAATTGCTGGAAAAACCAGGATTCAAATTAAAATATGACTCAAGCTTATTTTTTTTTTAAACACTATAATGAAAATTTTCAAACAGATACAAAGTTTGAGAGAAAGGCATGAGTTTTATGTACTCATCACTCTGGTTCAATACTTATCAACCTCTTAGGAATAGTATTTCTTCTATACTCCCTACTACTTTTTTTTCTGGAGAAGTCTGAGAGAAGGAAAAGAAAACCCTAGGCATCAAGGATTTTTTTTAACAAATAGTCACAATACCATTATCATATTTAACAAAGTAAAAATAATTCCTTCATAACACTAAGACCCTGTCAGTGTTCAAATTCTCCCATTATGTCCAGTTAGCTCAGTAGGGTTGTTCAAATGAGAAGATCCACACCTGCATTAGGTTGAAATGTCCCTTAAGTCTTTTAATCTCCATAGGTGCCTTACTCCACCTTCTTTTTTCCATGACTACTTATTGAAAAAACTGGATAATTGATCATGTAGAATTTTCTAACTTCCATGATTTCATCCTCATGGGGTGTTATTTAACATGTTCTTTTTGCCCTGTACTTCCTATAAAGTTTTTTAAACATTATAAACTATAATGCTGTTAGCATTACATTCTCCTATCCTAACTACTCTTTCCCTCATTATTTTTAGGTGCTGAAGTATCAAATGATTCATTAAATGAAAGAAGAAGAAAGAGATCTCAGTAAACCAAATTTGCATCAGTAATGCTGGTGGGAGTACACAGGATGAATATCATTGCTCTAGACCAATGGTAGGCAAACTTCTTCTGCATCGGGCCAGATAGCAAATATTTTCAGCTTTTTAGGCAATATAAGTTCTATTGCAGCTATTCAACTCTGCCATTGTAGGGTAAAGCAGCCATACAAAATATGTAAAGAAATGGGAGTGGTTGTATTCCAATCAAATTTATTTACAAAAACAGGGGCACCTGGTGGCTCAGTTGGTTAAACATCTGACTTTGGTTCAGGTCATGATCTCATGGTTCATGGGTTCGAGCCCTGTGTTGGGCTCTGTGCTCACAGCTTGGAACCTGGAGCCTGCTTCAGATTCTGTGTGTCCCTCTCTCTCTGCCCCTCCCCTGAACATGCTCTGTCTTTTTTTCCTCTCTCTCTCTCAAAAATAAATAAATATTTTAAAAAAAAACTTTATTTACAAAAACAGATGGTAGGCCAGATTTGGCCTAGGGGCTGACCTGCTGTATACCTACCAGCTATGGCTGAAGGTTTCAACTGTGTGTAACAGTTTACAAAAGAGGAAATAAAACTATATGCTGTACATTGTGTATGCTCTGGTCCCCTTTTGCTGGCAGAAGGACACAAACTTCCTGATGACTTTTTAATTGTCTTGCTTGTCTCCATTGTGGGTCACTCCAGTGACCCAAGCATCACAGTGGATGAATTCTTGACCTGAGACAGCAGGTGGAGGGTCAGGTTAGGTCTGTAGGAGACATGGTCTACCAGGAAGCTTACTGAGCCCAGAGTGGGATATGGTGCTAAGACCTCCTCCCTTCCCCGCAGGAGTCAGGGCTTACTTACTTGCAATTTCCCTTTAAAATTGTGCCCTTGCCTGGTTGAGAAGGACTTAATTAACCTCTATTACAAGTAGGCTAATTTTAGTGAGAAGAAGACTCTACTTCTAATTTTGCTCTCTTCCATATTCATGTACTCTCTCATACAGTGATGCATAGATGTCAAAAGTGTGCCTTGAAAGTCTAACTCCCACTTTTTTCTACACCTATCTGGCCCTTCCTAGAGGAATATTTTATATTTCTATAGCACTTGAAAAGTGTTGTAAAGGGCTTACCCTTATGTAATTTCATTTTACCTTCATGACACTCTATTGAAATAAAATCACTAACCCTATTTGACAGATACATAAACTGCAGAATAGAATTGGTCAGTAATTTGTATATTAAAAGACAAAGAATTAGAGGCAGACTCAGAATGATAATTCGGTTTTCTAGATCCTTGTGCAGTAGTATTTTTCAGTCAGGGATCATAATGCCTCCATCTAACAACTATTGCTTCTCTCTATAAAATGGAGCTTCTGAGTAAAATACATATTTTTGTATTCCAGAATCTGGTAGTGACTGCTTCTGACAATTTGGAACAAACTGAAATGAAAGTGGTACCTTTGGGCCACTCAATGGGACATTTATATTCTGATTCATCAGATAACTAATAAAAATGTTTTAATGCCCTACTATGCACAAGACTCAGTGCTGCATTTCCATTATATAAGCGAGGAACAAAATTATGGATTCCTAACATATCAAAAGAGCCTACTGGTATTAGAGATGAAAATGCTTATTTAAGAGAACCCTCATTTGCTGCTTGTGAAATGTAAATTTACACATGCTTTCTGTGATGCAATTTGGCAGTATATATGAAAAGCCTTCAAATCTAAAACCACAGACACAAGGCAGAGTTTGGCTGCCATAGTCGAAAGGGCAAGAATGTTAAGAAAGACTCAGCCCTGAGGCCCAGGCACACTCCCTAAGACTGAAGCCGAGACAGAATAAAAGAACCCTCAGTCCCAGCAGGAGCCTAGCATAGAGTAACAAGCAACAGTAGTCAGCTGCTGAGGCCAGACAGGAGCTTCGCGAGAGACATCTTCATGCTTCAGGTGTGCAGGGAGAGCTGAGGATGAAGCACCAACACCACCTAAAATTTTCTACCCCCCTCCCCACCCAGCCACCACCCTGAGCATAAGGGAGTGAAGCTCTCCTCCAGAGGAAGCTGAAGCCTGTGGTACACTCAAACAAAATGTAAACTTTTGACTAGGCTCAACCTTCCACATTTATAGCCTGACAAACATGTGCCCATATCCAAAGATACTATTTACCTTAGTCACTCCTGCATTCTGTCTAGTGGAACAGTGAGCTACAGGCATTGAAAGTTAGGGGATTTCACCAAAGATACGGGGTTTCAGTCAAATAGAAACCCTTGGTAAGAAAAACCACAATATAAGAAACAATTCCTTTGATGGGCTCATCACCAGACTTCACACAGCTGAGGAAAGCATCAGCGAACTTAAAGATATGTCAATATAAATGATCCAAACACAAAGAAAAAAAGAGCGGAAAAGAAAACCGAAACCTAAGGGATGTGGGGCAGTACAAAACAAATGAGTTGAATAAGCAGAAGAGAGAAGATGGGGCAGAAGAAATACTTGAAGAGACAATGGTCAAGAATTATCTCAAAATAATGAAATGCATGAAACGACATATCCAAGAAGCTTGGAGAACACCAAGCAAGATAAACTATAAACCAGCAAATGTCACAATTAAACACATCAATCTAATTTCTGAAAATGAAAGATAAAGGAAAATTTGTGAAGGTAACCAGAAGGAAAAAAGGACACATTTCATATAGAGAACAAAGACAATAATTACAGCCTCAGAAATTATGCAATGCTGAAAACGTAGTGGGCATCTTTAAATACTGAAAAATAAACACTTGTCAAATGAGAGTTCTATTCCCAGCCAAAATATCTTCTAAAAAATTAAGGAGAAATAAAGACTTTTTAAGATAAACAGAAGCTGGGAGTCCTCATTACCATCAAACCTGCAATACAAAAAACATTACAGGAAGTTCTTCAGGCAGTAGGAATATGATACCAGACAAAGCTTAGACCCACACAGAGAAATACAGAAATAGCAAGACTGAAGGGAAATATAAAAGATAATTGATTATCTAAAGCAGGAACTGTAAAATGAACTGTGGGCTCTACAACATGTGCAAAAGTAAATGAGAATGACCCTGTTCTCATATGTGTAAAGTGCTATAACTTTGAAGGTAGACTGTGATAAATCAGTAACACACCACAAAATATATTATTAAATAAAAATATGCTCTCACATTTATGCATAAGTATATGTATACACACATTCTAAAAAATCTGTAGAGATATTGACCCCAATGTTAATAATCTCTCCCTCAGTGC